CCGGCGGCTCCTCTGCCCCGGCGGCCGGGGGCCGAAACCAAACACGCGGGAGATGATCGCGCCTCCTTGAAGGTTTCTTTAACGTTTGGATAACAGAAACCGGGAGCGACCGCTCGCTGTTCTTGTCGGCGGGGTGCAGCCGGGGTGTCACCGCAGTCGGTGGTGGCACTGCCGTGATTTGGGCTGCAGAAGGAGTTGCGCCCGTGGCGTTTCTGGGTGGCTGGATCCAGCTCTCTCTCTCTCACTGTTATTTCAGGCAAAATTCATTCGGAGCCACATTCGGCTTCCTTTCGTTCTGAGGAACACGCGGCGTTCCTCCCGAACGTCAGCCTGCGTCCCTCCTCAGGCTGAACGAAGCGGGAGAAACACGTTCTCCTGAATTAGGACTTCAAGACCAGTCTCCCCTTTTTAATAGCGTAATTTTAGTAGATTAATTAACTCCACTATTATGGCCCAAACAAGATGTAAATTAAATATGTAGCAGCCGAAATCTTTTAATAACGGACTAGAAAATGGTAGTGTTACTTCCAACCTAGCATTAAAAATGTTGGGGTTTTGTTGTTTTTTTTTTTTTTTGGCATGTGGGAAACACTTCAGAATGCCGTAAAAAAACCAACGCTTACTACAAAGCCGAGCACTTACTCTCATGACTCACGTGCCTCTGAATGGGGTAGTAAATATATGCTGTTATGTACCCCGGCTCTGGCAGAGCTCTAGATGGCTTAATTACTCATGGCAAAGCCCGTATTGAATGGCGGAGGTTTTATCAGGGGGCACAAATAAGTCCCTTCTCTGTCAAAGCAGCACCGTGCATTTTGCCTAGGCTACAGGGGGGAGAAAGGCAGAATTTCATAGTTTCTTGCCGTTTTGGTTGGCGCCGCTTCTTCCTGCCCCTCTTCCTGCGGATCCAGGCTTCCTCCACTCGCGGGTAGGACTGTGCTGACCTTGGAGAGCGCGGAAAAAAATCTAAATATTTAAAGTGTGTGAGCCTGGACTCAGTTTTAGCTGTCGTGTCTGTGTGATACCAAACCAAACTCAGACTTCATTGCCAAAGGGGACTTGCCTGCGTTTTTCATGATAAACTCATCTGCTTCCACTTTCAGGCCATAAACCTAATTTTTCTTCGCTGTTGTTGTTTGGTTTTTCTTTTTTATCCAGGACGCGCTGAGACGCAGGTTGGCATAGCGATCGTTAAATGTGCGGGGAGGGGGTCCCTCCTTCCTAGGGAAGCGGAGCTCATCTCCTTGTCGAGCTTTGCGGTTGCTGTTGTTGTTACGTAGTGACAGAATTTTTCCAATTTAATTCTGCTGGAAGTTAAAGAGCGGAGAGCGCCCAGAGGCGGTGGTCAGCAATGTCTGTGGACCGGCGTGCGCTCGGCGCATGCATGGCTAAACGTTTCACCCGATCCTTTGTGGCGTTTGGGAACTCCTGCCAACCCTAAATTACAGTAATTTGCCTTCTCCTTTGTGGTTCATTAATTTCCCGTTAGGTGAAAATCCTGTTAATTATGAACAGGCTACATAACATTTTAAAATATTTTAGAATAGACCAAGAAACCTCCTAGATGGGAAGAGTCTGGGAGAGGCAGGAGAGCTGCTGCACTTTCAGCACCAAGACAAAAAAGGGAAAGGCTTCTTCACTGGAACTGACGCTCTCCCGTTTGAGGACGTTTTTTTAGCTCAAAAGATTGATAAAAGGAGAGCTCAATTAAGACACCATACGAATCTGAAAAAGAACCCCAGAGAAATTGTCAGTTCTTTCGATTTTAGTCAGAAATCAAATTTGGAGTAGACAGGCTGAGCATTAGCCACCTGGTTCTTAGGGGATCTCGCCTCCTGCTGAGCCACCGAAGGAGAGGGCCGCTCGCTTTCAAGGGTCCTCCACACCAAATGGCTCCTCTCCGCGAGGTGCTTGGCCAGGTTTTAAAAAGCACCCGATCTTACTGTTTTTCCTTCTTTTTTCTTTCTTATAAATGACTTTGCTAGTCATTTACAAAGACGCGTCTCAAAACCTGTGCTGTCACGCCAGACACAATTTCTCCAGTCGGTGACAGTTTTTCCATCTGTTTGGATAGCTGTTGTATTGGTCCTCAAGCCTGCAGTTGCGACCGCTAGTTACGGAAAACCGCTTTCTGATTTTTATCTGACTGATATATTTGTTCTGAAGACGGGTGCGGAAACTACAAAACCTGCCTCTTTGGTGGTTTTGTAGCCTAGTGCTGAAAGTGGACAAGCACTCACCATAGAAACCATGGTTTCAACGTGAGCCTCGGCGCTTCGTGACGCTGGAGGAAGCACAGGCTAAAAAAGCAGCGACGCGAAGCGTGCCCACCTCCATGCCTTGCTACCGACGGGCTCTCCGGGCTCCCTGGGACCCGTCCAGGTCCCTGCTGCTCCTTCGGGAAAGATGCTGATCCTGGGGGTGGTGGGGGAAGAGGGTGTTCAAGACCCACCAAAACTCCCAGGATCTTTTCACGTAGTTAACATCAACCAGGGGCCCTTGCGCGTTGCAGGACTGAGGCGAAACCTGCCCCGCGGCTGCAGGCGCCGGGTTCGGGCAGTCGAGCCCCTCCTGGGTGGGCGCTGGGCCACCCCGTCGCTGCGGGCGGGAGCGAGCGAGGTGACTCGTGGGCCCAGCAAGCGAGAGGGCGCTGGATAACTGGGAGGCGGGAAATCAGGAAGAGCAATGCTTTTGCCCCTTATTGGTTTAGGCGAATGCTGAGATCCCTGGGACCTGAAAAAAACCACTGCGAAAGTGGCGATGAAAAGGGCTCTGTTCCTGCAGGATGGCATTGGTTTGAAATGCTCAGCGCTTCCCAGGGAGGTGGTGCTCCCTATCCGTATTGCAGCTGAACGGGTTGAGTCTCTGAATTTGGGTCTACTTCAGACCTCATGTAAGCCGTTATTCTCCCCTGCCTCCCCCTCCCCGCCTTCGTGTTTTCCTTTGCTGAGAAACGGAGGATAATAAGGGTTGTACTTACCTCGCCGCCGTGCTGCGGACCTCAGCGCCTATAAAAGGCTTTGAACTCTTGGGATGGAAGATGCTGTGTAGATGCTGGAACATGATCATTTTTCCTCCGAGCAGTCGGCGCCCGGAGCGCCTTAGTTCCTCCTGCAGACGCGTTTGCGCTTGGCGCTCATCTGTGTTTTCTTGCCGGCTCCAGCACGGCTGCGGTTCAAATCCCGGCGCGGTCTCAGGAGAGTTAGGACCGTAGTGCCCACTCCAAAAGGAGGAATTAGATGTGTCCGTCTAGGGGGGACGGTGCTCAGAGGGTCGGAGGTGCCTCCTGGGCCAGGCGGCCTCCGCTGCCGGTGGCAGAGCGCTTTCTGCCTGGTGAAGCGCCCGAATAACTGCTTGGGGAGAGCGGCAGGATTTGTGCCTGTGCTGCCGGGGACTGCTGGCTTCGCTTTGGAGCTTTTCCTGTCGGCTTTTTTGTTGTTGTTGTTGTTTTAATCCTCTTTAAGAAGTGGCAGGATAATGAAACATCTTCCTTGCAAGAACTGAGACCTTTTTGAGACACTTAAATACAGCAGTGGCTTTCTGTGGATGAGGGACGTTTGGCCATGTCCTCTGAAAAAGTGCCTGTGTGTTTTGGGCAAAACAATGAAACTTCGTATAATGCAGGCAGGTGTTTTGGAGTGAGAGGGCTCCGAGCTGGGTTAGTTAGCTCTTGTTTAAGGAGAGGTGGACGGGCAAACTCGCGGTGCTTGTACTGGTGTTTGAGCGTAGGTGGATGCTTGCATTTTGGTTTAAACTAGGCTTATTTCAGTTTTGTGTGGGATTTAAGCTAAACCGCTTTCCAAGCAAAATAAGCTTCCCCAGGAGGCGATTGCGGTGGTAGGACTGAAACAGAGCAAAGCGGCGTGTCAGCAAAGCCCTGACCTGTCAGGCTGAGCGGGTAGGGTTGCTCCTCAGACGTGAGTCCTTTCTGCAAGAGTGGCTGCTGTTTCCTTATGCCCATTTTTTTCACGTGGTCATTAAGGTCCCTGTGTCCAGGTCGCCTCGCATGGGTTACCCTGTACGCTAGCCTTCCCGCAGGCAGCGGCTCCTGCGTCTTTGCCTTGGCGTTACAAGGCTGGTAGGGTCTTAATAGCCGAAACTGGAAAGAATTTCATAAAGCTCTGGAAATCAAATTTCGGGAGCTAAATAACAATCCGTAGGGTTTTCCTTTCCCCCTTAATACAAACAAACAAAAAGCCTGCATTGCAGCAACTGCTGAATTGTCTGTAGCGCAGCCCCGGTGATTAATCACCCCTCTGGTGAAACAGTAAGGAGTTGGAACCGAAAAGGACATTTTTAGACTACATTTCCCGTTTGCTTTTTTTTTGTTTCACTTCGTTTATGGTTTAAAACACTTCATAATAGAATTCCTGCCCTGTTTTGACGAGCCGCTGCCTCTGCTGGAGCCGGCTGCGTTGCTCTGCAGCCCTTGCTCGCTCCGCGGTCGGTGGCGGGAGGCAGGTACCCTGCCGCTGCAGGGTGTCAGAGCACCACGGCGGTTGTGACCCTGCCGTCACCTCCCGGCTGCGCCTGCGGGCCTGCGGATTCGCCTGCTTTTTGCTGCAGACCGACTGCAGAGCGCTCGCTTTTAGCAGTTGTGCTAGGTCTCTGCCTCTTGCAATCGGCTGCCCAGGGAAGCCATCGGCACCGTCTTTAGCGATGGGGGGAATTAGTGTTGCCCTTTGTATATGGTCGCCTAACACGCAGGAGGTTTTTTTGGTTGTTTTTTTTTTTT